TCAAATTTATACTTCTAAAGGCTTTTAAACCAGAACTTTTTGTTGGCTTACTAGTAAATACTATACTACAAGCGAATCTAGGATTTATGCGATTAGTATATATATTATTTTGCGCTTATTCTCCCAGTTGCCCAAACTAAATATGGTTTATATGGTGAATTTAAGCAAATACAAACCTTTACTAGCTAGATTTATTTCAGAATTTTGTAGCTACGAATTTTTATCCTTATTAATAGTCATTTTATATACGTTTTTTAAGTTACTCTTTGCTGGGCAAAGTGTATTTCAGACAAATTCTTTAAGGATTTTTCATGGCTTAGAGGAATACCAATTTCGACTAACAACCTTTGCACTACTCTCCAAAGTAAGGTTTCTTAATATTTTCAGTTTATTTAGTTTTGTAGACCAGCAGCCCTACGTCGCTTAAGGTCATTTAAAGTCTGTTGCTTGAGTTTTTCCATACTGAGATGACTAGGCCTCAGGATGCTTTTGAATTGTACTTAAACTTGCTTCTCCAAAGACTATCTCATTTATGGTGGACTGCATTTTCACATCTGCCTTGTTACCCACCGTCACCCATGGCTGTCTAATAGGCTAACGTCGGCATCACACTCATGACCTGGCATCGGATATTGTTTATGAGGTGCTCATGATCTAAGCGAGGTCGAGGTTGCAGCTAGTCTTTCTGGAGGCAAAACAAAGCGGAATTCAATGGTATTGCGAGGCATGTTCCTCTCAATAAAGGTTAATCCAATCATCAGTCATTAAATCGCAATAAGCTACATAGAGTGACTAATTTATTATTCTATAATTACAGTCGGTTTCAAAACATATTTTTATATATAATAAGTGACATCATTTATTGCAATGGATGTTTGCTTAATTGGCAATCCCACTATAAAATGTGATTCGGGGAAGGCTTGGTTAGCCTTGAATTCTATATCTACTCTGATCCACTGGCAACCATAGTTGTTGAGTGGGGTTGAGTGGTAACGTCGCCACAAAAATGATGACCCAATACAGCCTAATTTAAAACTAGTAAGCCCAGTTGAAGTGGCTTCCGAGGTGACAACACCTACTGATCAGCACGGCGATCGGAAGAAAGTATTAAAATTATCATAAATTCCTCTCAATCCTGAAACAACTACGTTTCTGGAAAAAGGACTCAATTTTTCAATTTAAGATAATAGAAGCCTTCAAGGAGTCATCTTGACGGAGGTTATCAATATCTCCGACAAGTTCCCTGAGGAGACAAAACGGGAAAGGAAGATGGAACTAATTCCAAAGACCTTAAAACATCAAGAGCCAACACACAGCAACAGATTTGCCAGGATACGCAGAATCCTGGAAACGAATGAACAATTAGTCCTTCAGGCGGACAAAAGAGGAGCTACAGTGATAATGGACAAAAAAACAATATACCGAGAAGATGGAACCTATTCTACGAGACAGAAACA